CCCCACCCCTCCCAAAACCCCCCCCTCCCTTCCCCCCCCCCTGAGCTTCCCAGAGCAGAATATAGGCTTAAGAAGTAAAAATAAAAATTAAATTAAGAACTTTATATTTATATATATAAAAAGATTATCTATAATATATATAAAAATAAAACTTATGAAAAAACTATATAATATTTTTGTATACCCAATCTAAATTGTATAAATTTTATCCATTTATCCCAAACAGCAAGAAACTTCTCTTGCGTTTGTTGCTTTAAGAAAGCCGAAATCTTTGCCATTTCCGCCAGATAAGCTACTTTAAGAAACCATTCCTGCAATGTAGGCAAAGATTCCTTCTTCCAATATTGTCCTACTAACAGCCTAGCGGCTGTAATCAAATTTAACATCAAAACAACCTCCTTTGTATCACAATCTGTAACAATACCTAACAAAAATAATTGCGGAGTAAATTTTACCCTCCTTCTAAAAATTCTCTGGATATTCCACCATATTTTGATCCAAAATGCTTTTATCTCTCTGCATGACCACCAAATATGATAATAGGAAGCCTCCTTATAACCACATCTCCAACATTTGGGTTGCACGTCAGGGTACATATAAGACATTTTTTGTGGATCAAGGTGCCATCTATAAAACATTTTATAAAAATTCTCCCTTAAGTTCTGTGCTTGTGTAAATTTGACATTTCTCACCCAAATATTTTCCCAGGTGTCCAATGAGACTGGCTCACCAAAATTCTGCGCCCATCTTATCATACAATCTTTAATTAGTTCCGTTTCTGAATCCAATTCAACTAAAACCGCATAAATTCTCTTAATGTGGGTTTGTCTTGAATCCTTCACTTGCTTGATAAGATTTTCATCTTCTCTAAGAAAACCCACCTTACAATCCATCTTCCATCTGTCTAATAATTGCCTATATTGGAACCAAGAATAAATAAAGTTTTCTTGCGCTAACTCTTCCCGTGATTTTAATTGCCAGTTTTGTCCATCCCATTTAAGTAACTGTCTGTAAGACACCATATCCATTTTAACCCCTCTTTTTATTGCTTCTATCGCATGCCAAGGTATAGCCCATAATGGTACTTTGAAATCACTTTTATAATATTTTCTCCAAATCCTAAGTAAAGAAATTCTTAAGATATGAGATTTAAAAGCCCAATCCATTTTTTTATTGAATATTAAATAGGCATGCCACCCATAAAGTAAATCCCATCCCTCTAGATAAAGTATCTCAGATTTGTCAAATTTACCCAATCACTGATTAGTGTTAAAACCACCGCATCATAATATAATTTCAAAATTGGTACCTTAAGTCCACCCCTCTCACGGAAGTCTTGCATAATTTTAAACTTAACCCTTGGCTTTTTCCCTGCCCAGATAAATTTATTAAGACCCTTCTGCCACTCATTTAAATTAATCTCATTTTTCAAAATTGGTAACATTTGAAACAGAAAAAGAAACTTGGGTAAAATATTCATTTTTATCACTGCAATTCTTCCCATGAGGGATAATTGCAACTTTTCCCAGTTCTTCAAGTCCTTCTGTACCCTGACCCACAACCTTTCATAATTATTTTTAAATAATTTTACATTAGAAACAGACAACATCACCCCCAAATATTTTACCTTATTAACAATCTCAAAACCCGTCAGGTTAGTCAAAATCTGCTTCTCCTGACTAGACATATTTTTAGGTAAAATTTTGGTCTTATTTACATTAATCTTAAAACCCGAGACCAAGCCATAATGATGAATCAACTGTAATAAGTTTACTACAGAATAATCAGGTTGCGACAAAGTAACAACCAAGTCATCCGCAAAAGCTCTTAACTTATATTCTTTTTTATTAACATATATTCCTTTAATTTCCTGAGACTCTCGAATTTTGATCAATAATATTTCCAATGTTAAAACAAACAACAATGGCGATAAAGGACACCCCTGTCTAGTACCTTTCTCTATTGTGAAAACCTCCGAAAGACCTCCATTAACAATAAGTTGTGCTGTTTGTTTTTGATATATTACCTTAAGGGCTTGTAATATGTTTTCACCAAAATTCATTTCTTCCATTACTCTTAGCATAAAATGCCAATTCAATTGGTCAAATGCTTTTTCAGCATCTAAAAATATGAGCCCTGCAGGAACTTGGTTGTTCTTATCTAAGTATTCTAATAGATTAATAATTTGTCTAACATTGTTTTTCATATACCTTCCTGTTATAAACCCTGATTGATCTTTATGACTGATGGTTGCCTTTGTTACGTTGGTCCCAGCTCTCTGCAGGTCATTCACTACGTCCCCCTGTGTGGTTCTGGGACTTTTGCTCACCGTTCTTGTGATCATATTGACCCCACGGGGTGAGATCTTGCGTGGAGCCCCAGATCGAGGGAGATTATCAGTGGTCTTGTATGTCTTCCATTTTCTAATTATTGCTCCCACAGTTGATTTCTTCACACCAAGCTGCTTGCCTATTGGAGATTCAGTCTTCCCAGCCTGGTGCAGGTCTACAATTTTGTTTCTGGTGTCCTTCAACAGCTCTTTGGTCTTTGCCATAGTGGAGTTTGGAGTGTGACTGTTTGAGGTTGTGGACAGGTGTCTTTTATACTAATAACAAGTTCAAACAGGTGCCATTAATACAGGTAATGAGTGGAGGACAGAGGAGCCTCTTAAAGAAGAAGTTACAGGTCTGTGAGAGCCAGAAATCTTGCTTGTTTGTAGGTGACCACATACTTATTTTCCACCATAATTTGCAAACAAATTCTTTCCAAATCAGACAATGTGATTATCTGGATTTGTTTTCTCATTTTGTCTCTCATAGTTGAGGTCTACCTATGATGACAATAACAGGCCTCTCTCATCTTTTTAAGTGGGAGAACTTGCACAATTGGTGGCTGACTAAATACTTTTTTGCCCCACTGTATGTACTATGTTATTGCTTGTTTTTTTAAAAAAATGGATCACCATGTTTCCACGTGGGTTCTTAAACTGTGTTGGTGTAAAATGGAAAACTAATAAAATTGTTTTGGAAATAATAATTGACTTACTAAGTCTGAGGAGCAGATATTAGAGATATACACAACCTACAGTGAAGATATGAAGACTAGATATAGTTTGGGGAATGGAAGAGAAATAATCCATGAATGATCGAGGGAATAAAGCAGTCCACTGAAAAAAAAATAGGCATCATTTTAGAATCAGAGTTAAAAAGGGCCAATGAGATCATGGAATACCACAATCTGGTGATCATAGGAAGCCAAGGTTCTGAATTAAAGAATTCCAAGATACCTGTGCTGTCTGTTCTTATCTGGTGAAGAGAACCTGCACCTCCTTGGGTAATTGGTCCATTGATCAAACTGTTAACAGGAGGTCAGGATTTGTTCTGTCTCATTCCAAAGGACACAAAATGGCAAAACAGATTTAAGTTACAAAAAGTCAGATTTGGAATGAATGTTAGAAAACAGACCTTCTTAACAACAGAAGAGTTGGGCAGTTAATAGTGCTGATAGACTACTAGATACCCTCAAGTAGAGGCTATTCTCTCTGGAGTGCTTTACTTTGGATCCTACACTGAACAAGACATTGGAATTGAGGTGCTGAATACAGTAGCCAGTCCAAATCTATGATATTGGGCTTTCTGCTATAGTGGTTCAGCTTAATTCAAATATCCAAATCTCTCCAGGTAGAATTATCAGATTTTACTTGGAAACACATTCCTAATGAGATTTAGCTATTCTGAGTTTTCTGCCTTTTAATTTTTTATTTTTTTTTAAAGGGAGCCAGTAAACATTTGAGGTTCACAAATGCCTTTGATATTGCCAGTTCCCAGACCAGGACTGGAAACAACCCTGTGCTTAATTCAGTAATTTTAAAGTATCCTGGATAGGTCATTATAATAGTATTAATTGATAAACAACCAACCCTCAATACTAGCTAGACAGTATAATCCTTCTTTAGATTATTACTTTTTAAATTGAAGAGAAACTTTAATTAGACAAAATAGATCAACAAGATTGTTATCTGGGATTGGATGATATGATTATATGATAGCAGGTTGTTTCACACTCTGATTTAATGCAGTGGAATTGATTTTTAAAGCCATAAATGATTTGACTACCTGAATAATCATGAAATGTACATACTTGGTTGCTATGATATATTCTTTGGTGCCAGATAATTTTAACATTAACATTAACCATAGCATTTCTTTTTATTTTAAAAGATTTGTGTCAGAACCCCCAATTATTAATCCCTCATATTTTCTGTGTTTTAACTGTTCGAGTTCTGCATTTCTCCTATGGGGGGGGAGGAGAAAGGCCAGGGGGCTTTGTAATGCACGTAGAATGCTTCCTCTATCTGCTTTGATGTATCATCTTTGGGGTGTGAAAGGAATGCCTTGGGACCATCTGTCTTATCTCATTACGGAGAGAGAAAACAGCAAAGACCTAAGAACCTTGAGAGAGGACCTTATCGGTTCATTTCCCACAGTTCGACGTCACCTATGGATTGGCCTGTTTGAACCGACCAGATGGACAGTTGGGGTGGGGTTATTATTTTGCAGGTTTTACATATTGATTCGGGCAAGAAGCCCTCAGATCCTGCCTAGCTTTCTTGCTGTCTGTACCTGCCAATAAAAGTTCCTTTTGAAATGATACAAGTTTCAAGAGTTCTGCTTTCTTGGTAAGGAAACAGAGGCAGGTCCTTACAATTTATATGGCTGCTCATCTTAAAACTCTGGGTGGCTAACAACAATAAAACTGTAAAAACCATAAAACATCCCCCCTTTAAAAAATTGACTCAATCAATTTCCCAGGGTGCCCCAACAATTCTCTGCAGACTCCATCACTTTTATCCCATTGCCTAGTGAAAAGCCAGGTTTTAATGGTCTTCCAGAAGGCTAAGAGGACGGGCCCGCCAGATTGCTTTGTAAATCCCTTTCTTTCCTACTTCGGATTCTTATTTATCAAACAGTCATGTTTTCACTTTTTTTTTTTAATTGCAGGTTCGCATGAAGTCCATGTTTGCCATTGGTTTTTGTTTCACTGCTCTGATGGGAATGTTTAATTCCATGTAAGTGATTACTAATGCTGTTTTTACTTTAAATTACTTTAAAAGTGAGGGGTGAGCTTTGTTGTTTTCTTGCAGACATTTCATTAGGTAACATCATCAGTGCTAATAAGAAACAGGATTTGCTCTCAGTTTATATTCTAGTGCACAGCGCTCTCTCTCTCTCTCTCTCTCTCTCTCTCTCTCTCTCTCTCTCTCTCTCTCTCTCTCTCTCTCTCTCAGAGAATAAAACATTAAAAACTGAATATTTTTTGTAATTGTTGTTCTAAGCTGTCCACAGTTGTTGGATATGAGATGAGTGGCAAATATATTTCAAAATAAAATGTATTTTACTAAAAGCCAAGCGGCTACAGTACATCAAAGCCAGAATTGAGGTTTTGTATATGAAAGCTTCCCAGTTAACTTTCCCTTTCTTGTTTCACTCCCCTATTTCCCATTTGTATAGTCACATTCAAACAAGTTGCTTTGGTAACTGTCCCTGCAAAGGCAGGTTAGATCTTGAGTGTTACATTCCATTTCCCAAGCACATGGCCTTGGAATGATAAACCAATGTCTCAGGATGGTAGTAAGCTTAGTTTTGGTTTCCCTGTTCCCCCACCTCTGGTTCTTCCAACTCCCTCTCCCCGCAGTTTATGGCAGGGTGGCATCTAGTGAAACAGGTCTAGAGCGAAAGATGACAGTTCTGATATTCACACACACACACACCCTTGAAAAAGGGCTAATCATAAGGGAAGAAAAGAGAAAAAAGAGTATTAGGGCTTCAATGAATTTTATCAGGGTATTGGTTGTGGAATTTGCAAAGTAGGCATGGGGAATCACATGTTGGGCATTGACCCACTCTGTCTCACAGGGCGGAAAATTTTTCCAGGTACTGGAGCTAGCCCTGGTGGATCCACGAGTCAAGAATTCCTTCATCTCTTAAGTTTTGTTCCCCTTCAATTAAGATTGGGGCCAGTGGCAGCTTCATTGCAGGGCACAAGGGAGACGCAACTGCGGGCTTTAGAAGGCTGTAGTGGAAAACAGGATGGATGCGCCTGAGATTTTGGGCCAACTTTAATTCAACTGTCACTAGATTGATGTCCCTGATAGTGGGGAAAGGACCGACATATTTTAGTTCCAATTTCTTCTAGGGTTGCCTGGATTGCAGGTACTTGGTGGAGAGGAACACTTTGTCTCCAATTTTGAATTCCCTCTGGGATGGTCTCTTTTTGTTGGCGTATCTTATGATTCTCTCGCGTGTTCCTCTGCCTTGCGAACAACTGGTCATGTGTGTTTTAGCCTTGGGATACCCCATTGCTTACTTTCCTCCATGTAAATGTAGTTCCGTTAAGGACTACACATTGAGTGCACTTGTCAGCCAGTTATGAATCCATCTGGTAGTGATGCTGTCTAATCCCATTTTTCTGCTTATTGTCTAAAATTATAATTTTAACAAATTTGTAAATCTCTTGTTCATCTACCTCAGCGGTTCTCAACGTTTGTGTGACGGCAACCCCCGTCACACAAACGGCATGCGCATGCGCGGCGCGGCGTGCATGGGGGAGGGGCCCCCATGCGCGGCATGCATGCACGGTGGCGCCCCCATGCGCGGCGGCGCCCCCCGGAGGCTCGCCGCCCCCCCATGCACAGCGCGCATGCGCCGCGGCGCCCCCCGGAGGCGCGCCGCCCCCCCATGCACAGCGCGCATGTGCGGCGGCGCCCCCGGAGGGGAGAAAATGGCGGATCGCCACCTTTGGCGACCCCCGAAAAGTGGTCGATCGACCCCAAATGGGGTCACGACCCATAGGTTGAGAACCGCTGATCTACCTGATTCTGTTCCTTCACATTTCTATATCTTTTTTTTCTATTTATTTTGCCCAGAATTGTTAAAAAATGCATTTTTAAAAATGATTAAGCAGAGGTCAAAAGCACAAGAAGGAAGTTTTGCTACGCCTCATATCACAAGGCACTCAACGTATTGCAAAGTTGGATCTCACTAATTTACTCCATCTATCATACAGTTCAGAAATAGCACCATGTAACCATGAAATGATATCATATGGGAAATTTGACTCAAAAGAGTAGGAAGAATTGTCAGGAACTTGTTGAAAAAATGGATTTGTAGAATTATTTCACAACAGCTTTAAGAATCTTGCCCCTGATTGGCAGAGGTTTGTAGTAAGTGGTGATGATTATGTGGAGAAGTAAAAGAACAGCTACCAAATCTTATTTCAAGGATATTTTCCTGTTTAATTTATTAAAATATCCATTTATAAACTAAGATTATGGAGGTGGAAATGTTACTCTTTATTCTGTCTTTGTAATTTTATGTTTTGCTCTAAATATAATGTTCTTTGATTAATGTGCAGCAAAATATTGCCTAGAAACAAAATATTTATTATCTGTGTTGAAATTACTCTGCAAATAATTTAAACTGCTGTATAACCAAATCCTTTTCGCTTTTTGCAGATTTGATGGAAGAGTGGTTGCAAAACTTCCATTCATACCACTTTCCTACATTCAGGGTTTGTCTCATCGTAATCTTCTGGGTGAAGATTGCACAGATTGTTCCTTCATCTTTCTCTATATTCTCTGCACTATGTCTATTCGGCAGGTAAGGAAGGGCTGCTTTGGGTTTTACTTTTGCGGATGAATAACCATAACTTGTATATAACTGGAGAATTAGAAGCAATGACTGGTGTAGTTTGCTACTGATGGATATGTTGTGTAAACATTTTAAAATTTCAACAAAATGGAACACTTGGCTATATTTTTCTCATTTTTTGGTGTCTATGCCTGTGAGTTTGTGTATTTTATGTTTATGTATGTATGTATGTGCTGGAATAGGAATAGGGAAACCTAGATTCTAATCAGAAGCTGGCTGGGTGACTTTGGACCAATCATTGTTTCTGGATTCTAGACTCTTTATCCTATGTGTCCCTGAGTGTAGATTATAATCCATTACCTTCAAATTATCATCCCAAACCATCATCATCCAGTGTATTGATTTGGGAGGAGGAAAATAGTTATCATCACCATTATCATCATCAGGAATCAAATGTAATCCTAGAATGTTTGTTGTGCCTTTGCTACTATATGTTATATTTTTAGTAACTGCCTTTCTTGTTTGGTATCTTAAGGAAACTCCATTATAATACATTAGGATTCCAACACTAATTCTGAAAAGCTAGGGATAATTCAATTTATTCTAAGTTCAGAAATATGTTTTGTTAAATTGTTTATTAAAAGCAAAGCCAATTAATTTTATTGGAACAACTTCAATTCCAATACATATTTTCTGAAATATTGAGGATTGTCAGAATCCAATTATATTTCATTTCTAGTTATCAACTATAGAAAACCCCATTTCTGCCCTCTCTGGATTCTGTCATATTACGAAGGGGAAGGGGGATGAGCAAAGGGGTTTTATGGCTCTCACTTCCTTCATTAAAACTTCAAAGGGACTGAATGTGGATCTCACCAAGAGGACTGACCATAACAATATGGCCATCAGCTTTCATCTACTACTCTCTGAAGTCTCCCTTCTGCCGGCCGTGAGGAAAAGGGGGTGGAAATGTAACGCCTGGGATTGTCGCTGGAAGGAAGGTGGGGTGGGGGCTGCTTGAGAACACTTAAAACCTTGAATGGTAGGGGTTGGCCCCTCAGGTCCTGTCTAGAATGCCTGCAACCATCTTCTCTTAATAAAGATGCCTGTTGGAAGAAATATTCCAAGAGTTCTCTCTTTTTAAGATGTAAAGTGGGATGAATCCTTACATTAGACAGGACCTGCAGAATTAGTCCACCTGGAAGGGAGAACCTTGCCGGGGGACTTTGCAAAAATTACCATGTCAGACGACAGAGCAGGAAAAGGAGAAAACTCCCTGGAAAGGGAGCCGCTGCCCCGACTGAAACCCTGCCAGATGTCAGGATCTGAGAGGTCAAATTCCTCAGGAGAAGAGGTGGTGAGACACGGGACCACAAACCTTGGTGGTCAATGGGCATTGGAAAGAAAGGCAAGTGGGAAAAGAAATCAAGAAAGGTAACCCTGAGACGGGGGACCAACCAACCAGAATGGAAGCAGGAGATGGGGAAATCCCTACACGCAAGTGAAGAGGAAGGGAACTGGGCACCATACTCAGGCTGGATCCTATAGAAAGCTATCGGCCCGATGAAGAGAACCCTCAGCTCCCTAGGAGAGGAGAATTCTGAGCCCTACGGCCACACCAGCTCCTGAAGCCGCAACTGGAGAGACACTGAGGGGGAAGTGGAACCTGCAGCCCCGGGGACGTCTGCTGATCCAGTAGTCCCCACTCCCCGCCGACCCGCAGAGGGTGATCTCGATAGAAGACACTACCACCGACAATGAAGGCATAGATCCATTCAAAGACTCCCGCCACTGGACGTGAGATTCAAAGGGGAGCTGACATGCTTGGGGTTTTTCCTAACCCAAGTCCTCAGCTGCATGGAGGAATATGGGCAGCACATCCCCAGAGACAAAGCCCGTATCTGGATCGTGCAATCTGCTCTGGATGGGCTGGCCACATATTGGGTGGTGCACAACTCCAGTGCCCCAAGCTCAACGATTTCAACCATTTCATGTCCTCTGAGAAGGCGATTTGAGGACCCCCTGGCTGATCACAAAGCCCGCGAAAGGCTAAAAACGATGAGGCAAGGCAACCCCCCCCCCCGTAGTCGAATATACGCAAGAATTCCGGGCCATTGCCAGCAATTGAACTGGCCGGAAGACATCCTCCTTAGCCATTTCAAAGACGGGCTGAACTACGACCTATATGACGCTTGCCTGCCCCGAGGGGACCCACACCAACTTGATGAATGGTATGTCCTGGCAGAGGAAGCAGAGATTGACATACTGAAGAGGCACCGCCGAGGAAAACAATGGAGCCGCTCACCGCCTGAGTTGACACGTGAACCAGTGAAACCATCGGCTACGGCCACGAAGCAAATGGGGTGTTTCAAGTGCAGGAGAGAGGGGCATCGGGCTGTAGAATGCCGCTCAAAAGCCCCCAGCACAACCCAGACAGATCACCGGCCAGCAAATCCAGGAAGTCTCCAGCTAAGGCAAAAGAACCTGCCATGAGAATGATGGAAGCTGTGGAATCCCCCACCTCTGCTCATCGGGGGAAAGAACTCCAGCCTACACCGCAAGGCCGGTGAACGCCTCAGACGATAGCTCAGAGGGCGAACCCCTGGTAAGTGGACGCATCGCACCCATCTTCAAGACAGTGACTATATTAATTCCCCCCATGCCCGAAGCTGTGAAGGTGAAAGCCTTAATAGACTCTGGCTGCACCCAGAAATACTACCAGAAATACCAGAGGAATAGAGAGATCTTGCTGAAGTTTTCAGTGAGGAGTGGGCAGATGAGCTCCCCCCCCCCCGACCCACGGACTGTGCCATTGAATTCAAGCCTGGGGCAAAGCTCCCGAAGCCCAGATTATACTCCATGAGCCCAAAGGGGAAGGAGGAAATGGAAAGATTCATAAAGAAAAACGTAGAAAGGGGGTTCATTGAGCCAGCCAAGCCTAAAGTGGCCACCCCAGTCCTCTTTAGAGAGAAGAAGGATGGCTCTTTACACTTATGCGTAGATTATAGGCTCCTGAATACAATCAGTGAAAGCAACCTATACCCCCTGCCCCTCATGAAGGATGTGTTGTCACACCTCTCGAAAGGGAATTTTTTTTTTACTAAACTAGACCTAAGGGAAGCTTACTATCGCATGAGAATTAAGGAAGGGGATGAATGGAAGACCGCATTTAACTGCCCAATGGGGTGCTAACAATTCAAAGTCTTGCCATTTGGATTACGAGGGGGGCCTGCAGTATTTATGCAATTAATCAATGACGTTCTAAGGGAGCACCTATTTAAGGGGGTCCTGGTTTACTTAGACAATATTCTTATCTTTACCGAATCAAAAGAGGAATATGACAACCTAGTCAGCGGTTTTAAAGAAACTGCGAGCCACCCACTTATATGCCAAACTCTCTAAATGCGAATTGCACCAGGAAAGGATAGACTACCTAGGTTATCTCATATCCCCACAGGGCATTGAAATGGACCCAGAGAAGGTCAGAGCAGTATTAGAATGGGCACCACCCCGCACAAGAAAGCAACTGCAAAGTTTCCTGTGCTTTGCAAACTTTTACCGCCAATTCATCCCCTCATTTGCCCAGATAGCCCTGCCCCTCACAAACTTACTAAAATCGAAGGGAGCATCCTCAGTAAAACCTAGCCAGCCACTAACATGGACAATGGAATGCCAAGCAGCATTTGAGAGATTAAAGAGACTTTTTTCTGCTGAACTAGTACTGAGGCACCCAGACATGGATAAGCCCTTCGTAATACAGGCAGATGCAAGTGATGTGGCAGTGGGGGCTGTACTATTACAAGAAAACGATGAAGGGGTATTGCAACTCTGTGCGTATACATCCAAGAAACTCATGGAAACGAAGCAGCGCTGGCCTGTGTGGGAGAAAGAGGCATACGGGATTTGGTGGTCATTTCTCAACGTGGCACCAGTTCCTTGAAGACAACAAAATCCCTTTCCAGGTGTGGACAGACCACAAAAATTTGGAAGCCCTGAAAACACCCAGGAAGCTCAACCCCAAGCAAACCTGCTGGTCCCAGCATTTTCACCAGTTCCAGTTTACGCTCAAGCATTTGCTTGAATACATACATAAAACCTTGAATGGTAGGGGTTGGCCCCTCAGATCCTGTCTAGAACGCCTGCAACAATCTTCTCTTAATAAAGATGCCTGTTGGAAGAAATATTCCAAGAGTTCTGTCTTCTTAAGATGTAAAGTGCAGGGTCTTGCTTGAAAAGACATTTTACTCAGACTAACTTGGATAACAAAATTTGGCAAAATCCAAATTCTAATTCGATTTGTATGTGTTTCAGAGAAAAATTGAATAGTCAAGGTAGTTAACAGTATTAAGTGAATCAGAGCAAATAAAAATTTCAAAATATAAAGTACAGACATAAAAATAAATATTATATGATATAATATATACTACGCTATACTATATAATAAATATTTGATAATTAGAAGGTGGTAACACTTAGCTAGGAATTCCTAAATTGAGTGCTTCCTAAATTGAAAAGTTGGGAAAACAGGAGAAAGCAATAGCAAATCATTTCTCTAATACTATAAAGAAAATTGAATAGATGCAATAACCAGGAATTGAAATTATTAAATCAATCAGCTTATTTGTATACTGGAATTTAAATCTTTTTATCTCCTTTATTTCTTACAGGAGAATATAAATACTGAAATTATACTTAATTGTACTTAATAATTGCATTTTTTTTATTTCTTGATAATCAGAATGGTACAGATTAAGCACACCTACTTTTTCAGTTCATAAATGTGTAAGTATAAATGAAGCTATCAGTTATTTGAGGTTGATTAACAATGTTTGCATATGGTTTTGACTATTTATTAAGGGAAAACTTGCTTTATTTTAAATACACTACTCAGTTCTTGTGTCTTTTTTGCTCCTTTATCAGAATATTCAGAAGCTGTTGGGTCTGGCTCCTTCCCGAGCTGCCACCAAGCAAGCTGGAGGATTCCTTGGCCCCCCACCTCAAGCTGGGAAGTTCTCCTGAAATAAGAAAAATAATTTTATCTCTCTTGCCAATGAAAATATTTAAAAAATATTCAGATTTTATAGAAACGTTTCTAAAAATATTTTGGTACCCAAGATATCTAGTAACATCTGTTTTATGAATTGAACCATATTGAATAGATATCTTTGGTTGGCTCTCAGTTTCCAGGATGGACGAAAAGTACTTTCATGAAGATTTTAAAATCTAGAAAAGCTTGTAAGAATACATATTGAACTTAAAGATGGGATGGTGATTCACATAAAGTTGGAGTTTTTTAAAGACATGATTCCACTCTTACTGATAAACAAAGAAGAATTTCCATTATCTCTAGCTATTTGTCTTCCCTCTTGTTGCCATTTTTCAAATGTTAATTTAGTCCAACATTAACTGGATTTCTCTAGGAATTTATAAGAAATATCATACATTATCACAATATTTGATATTAATGGATAATGGAGGCTTTATTAAATTATGACAGAAAATTTGTCAGGAGATAATTAACCTCCATTAATTATTGTAATTTTTATTTATTTTATAGAAATAATCAACAATTTTTTCCTCAGAGAATATTATTTGTTGTTGATTTGTTTTTTGTTCCACTGTCTCAATGTGAAAGTGGCGAGGAGGAAGAAGTGGAGCAGTGTCATAAAGGGAAATGTGATATATTTCAATAAGTATGCTTCACTCTTGTCAATTGATAACCTTTTTGATATTTCTAGATGTTTATTGTATCTCCTTTATTTTCCCTTTTGAAAGCTAAAGATGCCCATCTCTTTTAGCCATTCCTCACTGAGCTTGGTTTCCAGAAACATTATTACCTTAGTATCTCTTCTGAAACCATTCCAACTTCTGCAATGTCTGTTTTATAGCATGATATTTAGGACTGGACTCAATCTTAATTGTGGTCCATTCAGCGCTGAATATAATACAAGTACCGTACTACCTGTTTTGATCTGGATACAGTGCCTCTGCTAATACAGCTTACCCCTCCACTAGCTGCATCACACTATTTATTCTTGTTTATCTGGCTGTTCACTAGAAAGGTGAATCTTTACAGTTGTAGCTAATCTGCTTAGGTAAATGTCATCTGCAAATATTGTGGATGTCCAATGCTATTCTAGGTTCATTTATAAAGATACTGAAGAGTATCGGACCCTGAAAATCCCATTATTTCTCTCCAGGATAGTGTGGAGCTATTCATGTGTATTTTTGGGTAAAATTGTTTATCCAGTTGCAAATCCATTAGATCAGGGCTTTTCAACCTTTTCACCCGTTGTACCACTTTTAGGATAAGGCAATATCTGAGTACCACCAGTCGCCTAGCAAGGTGTCAAAAACTTGACCAAAAAAAGAGGAAAAAAGTGATAAAATACTGGTAGTCCTCAACGTACAACAGTTTGCTTAGTGACTGTTCAAAGTTACAACGGCACTGAAAAAAGTGACTTATGACCATTTTTCGCACTTATGACCATTTCAGCATCCCCAGGGTCACATGATTTACATTCGGCTGCTTGGCAACTGTTTCATATTTATGATGTTCACAGTGTCCCAGGGTCATGTGATCCCCTTTTGCAACCTTCTGACAAGCAAAGTCAATGGTGAAACCAGATTCACTTAACAACCTTTTTATATCAGGGGTATCAAACTCAATTTCATTGAGGGCTGCATTAGTATTGTGGTTACCATCGGGGGGGGGGGTTCCTTTTTCCCCTCCCTCCTTCTCATTCACATCTCCCTCCCTCCCTTCCTTCCTTCCTTCCTTCCTTCCTTCCTTCCTTCCTTCCTTCCTTCCTTCTTTCTGTAGGGCTGTCAGGGCTCAGCAGGAGTGCCAGAAAGACAATTAAATCAGGTATGAACTATGGTGCTGGAGAAGACTCCTGCGAGTCCCTTGGACTGCAAGGTGTTCAAACTGGTCAGTCCTAGAAGAGATCAAACCCGATTGCTCTTTAGAAGGCCAGATCCTGAAGTTGAAACTCAAATACTTTGGCCACCTAATGAAAAGGAAGGACTCACTGGAGAAGGGCCTAATGCTGGGAAAGATTGAGGGCAATAGAAGAATGGGGCGACAAAGAGAATGAGGTGGCTGGATGGAGTCACTGAAGCAGTAGGCATGAACTTAAATGGACTCCAGAAGATGGTAGAGGACAGGAAGACCTGGAGGAACGTTGTCCATGGGGTCGCGATGAGTCGATTACACATCAGTCATGCAAGAAGAGAAAGGCATCCAAAAAGAGAAGCCACCTTCTTGTTGGTGATTCAATTATAAGGGATGTAAATTTAGGAAAGGACACAAGTTTCGAAAGAGGTCAGATGTCTTCCAGGTGCTACTGCCAGTAGAGACAAGAAGCGTATTTTTAAAATAGTCAATGCAGAATGATTTCCAGAGCTGGGATAGGAACTTAGCAGGATAGGCTTACTTTTCAGAGGTTTTATCAGTGTATAAGGAGCAAAATGGAAAAGGCCAGCGTATAACAGAATTCAATATGTGGCTAAAGGAGTGGTGTAAAGGGGAAAGCTTTGGTTATATTAGTCACGATGCCTGTAGCTGGTCCAATGAAAAAATGTACAAAAGAGATGGTTTGCATCCATCAAAGAAGGGGACTGGGTTACTTGGCAATAAATTCACAGATTTTCTGGAGGAATATTTAAACTAAACAACGGGGACAGGGAGTTAATTGATACAGAACATCCCTAAAAATTATAGGGCTATCAGTGCATGTAACATAAATGTGTGTGTGGACAAGAATATCAACCTTGCTGTCAAGCAAAATCAAGCTTTTAATAGAGACTCACACAAAGTGCGCTAACCAAACAGGTGGTAAGAAAATAGGGGAACTCAGAACATAGATTATGTAGAAAGTAAACACAGGGTCAGTCATAAAGGACTCAAATGTCTATACACCAATGCACAGAGTATGAACAGTAAACAGGGTGAACTAGAAATTCAGGTTAATTAGGGCAGATATGATATTGCTGCCATTACAGAAACATGCTAGGATGAAACCCACAAATGGAACACTCAGCTAGAGGGATTTAAATTATTTAAAAGGAACAGACCAAATAGAACAGTGGTTCTCAACCTTTTTAATGCCGCGACCCCCAACCGGTCGTAAGTCGAGGACTACTCAATCGGTCATAAGTCGACTACTCAACTGGTGCAGCACCATTTGCAGAATGGGACTTTTGGCGGGCTCAGCAGGGCAGAGACAGCCTGGGCAATTCCTATTGGCTTTTGAAAGCCAATAGAATTAGACTCTATTCAAGAGAGTCTATTCTATTGGCTTTCAAAAGCCAATAGAATAAAAGGGAGTAGCATAGCTAGGTAAAAGGGGGAAAAATGGCAGACTGCGTTGTTTGGCGACCCCTGTGAAATGGTCGTTCGACCCCAAATGGGGTCCCGACCCACAGGTTGAGAACCACTGAAATAGAAGGTGGAGTTGCTCTTTATATAAGAAATAACTACATCTCTATAGAAATAGAGCACAACAATGATGAAAACTGTCTTGAATGCATTTGGGTCAATATAAAGGGGGGAATGACATTGCCATAGGTGTATACAATAGGCCAGACATGTCAAACACAAGGCCTGTGGGCCGGATGCAGCCCAGGGAGGGCCCAGATTTGTTCCCCCCCCCCCCCCGCTGTTCCAGAAATGACAAGGGACTGGCCCAGCTGCCCCAGCCCTGGCCCACCGCAGTCCAGCTGGGTGCCTTGGAGCACGTGCAAGAAACAGTAAGTGCTCCTCATTTGCTTTAGCCCGCCCTTCCCCTCCCAGCTTAACCCTCTCAAGCCCAGTCAGGAGTGGAAGAGGAGGAGGTGGAGGAAGCCGAGGTGTTACAAAAAAGGAGAGCTTCCCCCATTCTTCCACCCCTTCTCTCTTTTTTTTTTTTTAACTTCCACTCCATTCAGGTGCAGCTGAGATAAAGGACGAGAAGGAGAAAACAGGAAGGGTTTGTGTGTGTGTAGTGTATGTGTGTGTGTGTGAGAGAGGGAGAGAGAGCCAGGAGGGGAGGAGGAAGCCGAGGTTTTACAAAAAAGGGGAGCTTCCACCTTTCTCCCCCCTCCTCTTTTTTATTAACCTGTGTGTGGGTGTGTGGTGTTTGTGTGTGTGTGTGTGTGTGAGAGAGAGAGAGAGAGATTGAGCCAGCAGGGAGTTGCAGAGTAAGCAAACTTACAAAAAGGAATATCTCTCTCTCTCTGTCTCATATACATTTGTTTCTTCTGCCTAATTTATTAAATCAACATCTAATTTGAAATTAAAAGTTTCTGAGAAATCCAGGGTGGTTTACAAGAAAACTCTCAAAGACAGCTATTATAAAGCATCACTAGCACAGCTTAAAAGAATATTAAAAGTATGTATTTTAAGAAAGAAAAATAGTAGTAATTTACTTAGTGCTGTTTGACCATAAAATGTGTTGTTTTATATATGCCTGGCTGAATAGTGTGTTTGGAGTTGCCTCTATTTCCTTGGGAGAAAGTTCTATAATGGGGGTGCTGTCTCTGAGAAGGCTCTGCTTGTGGCCACTGTTCTATAAACCAAACCAGGGGACTATCTGGTCTAAATGGATGACAAACATAGATGATTAGGGGGCTGGAGGCTAAAACATATGACAAATGTTTGTGGGAATTGGGTATGTCTAGCTTAGTGAAAAGGACTAGGGGTGGTGACATGATAGCAGTGTTCCAATATTTGATGGGCTGCCACAGAGAAGAAGGGGTCAACCTATTTTCCAAAGCATCAGAAGGCAAATAATAGATGGAAACTAATCAAGAAGAAAACCAGCCTAGAACTAAGGACTTCTGAAAACAACTAACCAGTGAAAAGGCTTGCCTTCGGAAGTTGTGGATGCTTTTAGTAGAGATTGAATATTCCATTGTCTGGAATGGTATATGTCCCCTGCTTGAGCAGGAGCTTGGACTAAAGACCTCAAAAGTCTGTTCCAATTCTTATTCTTTGAGAGAAGTGCTGCCAACCTCTCCCCCTCTCCTCATCCCTTCCTGGGCACAGAGAGAAGGAGGAAAAAAAGGAGGGGAGGGAAACAGGAAAAAAGTAAGGGAAGGAAGGATGGGAATGAAAAGGAGGGAGGCATGGAAGAAGGGGAGGGAGAAAGGAAGAAAGAAAGGAGAAGAGGGAGGGAGGAAGGAAGGAAGGAAGGGTCTGAGGGAAGTCCTGCTGTAGCACTTGGCCACCAGCAGCCCTGTTGCCCTTTTGCCATTCCCTGGTGGTCTCCCATCCTATTTATTTATTTATTTATTTATGAGACTTATATACCGCTTTAAGTGCAAGCACTCTCTAAGCGGTGTACACCAGTAAGCAATGTATATATATATTTACATTGCCCCCAACAATCTGGGTCCTCATTTTACCTACCTCGGAAGGAAAGAAGGCTGAGTCAACCTTGAGCCGGTGAGATTTTGAACCGCTGACCTGCTGAACACAGTCAGCTAAAGTGGCCTGCAGTATTGCACTCTAACTGCTGCGCCACCTTGGTTCTGAGGATGCTTTGGTTACAAAGCCAGGTTTCCTCGCATGGAGAGGGAGTGGGCCTCCCTCTGACCCACGCACTTTGTCCTCCTGCACACACCATGAGCAACCTGGCCAAGGAGAGAGAGCATAGCAACAGCAGCATTGAGGAGGAGGTAAGTGCAGCTGGGTGCCCCCTTGGGGAAGTGCGGCTAGGCTAGGCA